TACAATGAGGCCAGCCAGGAGGGGGATTTGGGGGTTTGCCAAACCGCCCCGAATCTTTGCTAGAGGATCGCTCGAACCCGGGCGAACCAGGAGCAGCCTACGCCTGTTTATAGTATGTATTGGTTGCTAGCTGTATATCCTGCCTGTTGCTAGTCCCGCTCTTTAACCACTCACTACCTCCCACTGTGCTAAGCTTTTGAAATGAAATGTAGGTATATTATTTGGATTTTTCTATTATATTGACCAATAGAATAGAATATTATATCATATGTGTATGTATATATGTATGTATGTATGTATGTATGTATGTATGTATGTATGTATGTATGTATGTTGCATTTGTGCTGATAAATAAGTAAAGGGAAACAGCCCAGATTCGATTCCCAGTATGGGTATGACTAGCTGACGAGAGCTAAATAGCTTGAAATAGATCTATACTAGTCTCCCTTTATTTATTTATCTCATCAAGCATGAATTAGACAAGAGACAAGTTTAGGCGTGATTATGAATACATGAAATGAATACCAATACAAGGGAATATTAGGACAGGGAAGGTAGGCACGCCGGTGCTTTTATGCACGCCCCCTTACAGACCTCTTAGGAATGTGGTGAGGTCGACAGTAGACAGCCTAAGGTTAAAGTTTTGGGGGTTTGGGGAAGAAACCCCAATAAAGTGATTCAATAAAGTGAACAAATAAAGTGATGGTGGCTTGAACTGCCCTCACTCCAACATCTGGATCACTGGACATCACCCTGCTGGACTACAGTTCCCATCCTGCCCAACATCCGGCTGGTGCCCATGGTTTTTATTCCACCCTTTCAGAGAAAGGGCAGGTGAGAGGAGGCCTCGTGGGGGCGTGGGAAAAACGCTTTCGGGGCTGGGGAGGGATACCTGGATGCCAGCGGAGGGCCAGCTTCCGATAGGCTCGCTTGAGGTCTTCATCGGACGCGTCGCGTTTCACCCCCAGCACTTCGTAGTGACACTTCATGCTCGGCGTCCCGGGGGACTCTTTCAGCCCAGCGGCCCACCACCTTCCTCCCCGGCCGGCACCTACACGTGAGGACCGCGGTGACGAACAGCCGGCGGAGGAAAGGGGGCGGGGGGGGAAGGACCGGAAGGAGCAGAGCGGAGATCCAGCTCCTCCTTGGCTGCCGGGCTGGGAGGCGGAACTGACGGAAGGGCCGGGAAGGACTTATGGAGGGGGGGGAGGGGGGAGGATGGAACGCAGCAGGAGGAAGAGCGGCGGAGGTTTCAATGGCGTGGAACGTCGGGGACGTGAACGTTCCGAGGCCGCCGAGCTGGTTTTGATGTCGTGGAACGTTGCGGGACCGAACGTTCCAGAGTCTCTTTGCCGGGAGGGGCGGCGTTGGAAGTTGGTTGATTCGGAGCCGCCTCTGTCTCTGATCAGAACGAGGGCGGTCCTGCCTGGTTTTTTTTTAATTACTTACTTATGTACTTACGTATTTATATTTATTTATTTCGTCAAGCATGTATTAGCTAACAGATATAAGTATAATAAACATGATTTTGACTACATGAATAGGGTACGAATAAAAGGGAACATTAGGATAGGGACGCTAGGCACTTTGGTGCGCTTGCGCACTCCCCTTAACAGACCTCTTAGGAATGCGGCGAGGTCGAAAGAGACCTATAACAACCGAAAAAGAAAGGGAGAGAGGAGAAAACGAGAGGAAGAGGGGGAGGAGAAGAAAGAGGTAAGGAAAGGAGGGTGGAAGGCAGAGGAAGAGAAGGAGGGAGGGGAGGAAGAGAAAGAGTAGGAGTAGAGGAGAGATAAGGAAAGAAGGAAGGGGGAGAGGAGGAAGGAAGGCAGTAGAGAAGGGAAGCAGGGAGAAAAGAAAGGGAAAATAAGGTGATGTTACAACAGGCGGAAGGGAATAAAGCAACCCAAACTGTATTATAACCTATTAAATGAAATAAGAAATGTATAAGAATGACAAATGTGAAGAAAAATAACAATTATGTGAATGTATACTTAAAATGGTATGTAAGAGAATAAAAAAATACAAAAAAAATTTTGGGAAAAAGGAATGGGGTGAGGTTGACAGTAGACATCTGCATGGCAATTTCTTGGATTGGAGTTGCTATGCAGATTGTGTGACCTCAGGTAGTCCTCGACTTGCAACCGTTCCTTTAGTGACCAAAATTGCAACGGCAGTGGGGGAAAAAGGGGGACTTGGGACCGTTTTTCACACTTACGTGGTAGTGTTCCCTGTGATGACGTGATCAAAATTTGAATGATTGGCAGCTGATTTATATTCATCGGGGTTGTGCTGTCCCCAGGTCATGTGACCCTCCTTCTGACAAGCAAAATCAATGGGAAAGGCAGATTCACTTGACCACCAGGTTACTAACTTAACAAGTACAATGATTCACTTAACTTTGGCAAGAAAGTTTGTCAATGGGGCAACATTCACTTAACAAATGCCTCACTAACAACAGAAATTTTGGGCTCGGTAAGTCAAGGACTACCTGTATTTCTGTAGTGTGGACAGAGGACGTTGGATACCGACACATAGAATTAATTTCACGGAAAGCAAGGCCATCTTCCTAGCTGTAAATATGTATCTGGCAGCAAACGACAAAAACATAAACAAAAACTAACATGAGTGATCCCTCCCCCCCCAAAAAAATCTGTTCTTAGATTCTGGAGATGAACCCCTCCTGCAGAAACTGAATCACTAATTGTCTTTCTGACTAGTCTAACCTGTTTGACTGAAATTGAAACAGGGCAGTTTCGTCACCTGCTTTACAATGCATTTTGGAAGAAGGGCAAGAAATATTGGACGTTATATGCACCCGTTTCCTGTTATAGGATACATGGATTATTAGTGTTATTTTGTAATTATTCAGTTGATTGATAAATCAATTTTTAACAGGAATTACAATGTTTACTATTTGCAGCCTGGAAGTTACTGAACTATTATTCTTTGTGCTTTGACACTTAAGAAAAATCTAGTCCCTCCAATTTAATATTTCAAAAATTCAGCAATGCTAATGCCGAGAAAACTGTTGTAAAACCAGGAATTAGCATCCTTGAAGTTAAATTACTTAGTAGTGGCTATTGAACCAATAAATAATGTAAACAAATATTAAAAACTGCATTCATGTCACCTCCCACCCATCCTTTTCACAATTAATCAGTGGAACGGATTTCCTCCAGAAATTATGGGTGCTCTATCACTTCAGTTTAAGAGATTGCACAGCTATTTATCCAGAATAGTATAGGGCAGTGATGGCAAACCTATGGCACGCGTGCCACAGGTGGCACACACAGCCATTTCTCAGGGTATGCGAGACGCTGCCCTGTTAGCTGGCCAGTGTGCTTGCGCCCGCTGGCCAGCTGAGTTCACCCTTTTTAAAAGCCATTTTTCGCCCTCCTCAGGCTCCAGTGGCGTTATAGGAGCCTGGGGAGGGCGAAAAGAGCCCCCCCCCTGAGGCCCTCTGGAGGCATCACGAGCTTCCCTGAAGCCTCTGGAGCACAAAAAAACAGCCGTATAGGCAAACCAGAAATTCGGGAAAGGACTTCCTGTTTGCTCGGAGGGTCGTTTTAACTGCTTTGGAGGCTTCAGGGAAGCCTCCTGAAGGTCCCTGAAACCTCTGGAGGGCTACGGGGAGGCGGGGGAGGCTGTTTTCGTCCTCCCCCGGCTCCTATAAAGCCTCTGGGGAGGGTGAAAGAAGCATGCAAAAATGAGGGAATCGTGCCTGTAGTGCTCGCGTGTGCACTGGGGTGGTGGTGTCGTGCATTGCATTGTGGGTGCAGCACGCCCGCATACGACTCCCCTGCGCTCCCCCCACTTATGGTATGTGAGCCAAAAAAGGTTCGCCATCACTGGTATAGGGTCTCCTGCCTCAGCAGGGGGTTGGACTAGAACATGGGTGTCAAACTTGCAGCAACATGTTGCCGTCACGTGATGTTTCACAACATTTTTCGCGGAGCTGGAGTGGGCTTGGCCTGTGCATGACTCACCCAGCCTGCTGGCCGCCAGTTTGACATCCCTGAACTAGAAACACTCTTCAAGCTCTGTTATATTATTACTGTTATTGTTTTTAACCTTACAGGATAAATTTGCACCAATACATATAGATTAAGGATAGTTATTTGTTCCAAAGCAGTAAAGTTTTATAGGATTGTGTATAGCTCAAAATTATTTGAAAGGGGTATTTGAAAAGCAAGGGAGCACATTATTTCTTTAAAGCAAGTTTGTATTTTTTCAATTCTCATTCAAACATTTACATTTTTTAGACCCATACAGAAAAAAAAGAACTGCTTTGAACTGCTGTGCTCCTCTGCATTTCAAAGCATCCATTCATGATGATTTCTAAAGCAAGCCAACTCCAACTGTATAAACCTAGCCTGTAATTTTTGTCCTTTTCCTTTTTTTAATGAGAAAGCAATTGGGGTGCAGAATGTCCAAAACTGCGTAAATGCTTTGGAACACAAGAAAAAAATGGAGACTGAAGAATCTTAGTCGAGCGTATGCATACATATGAAATTTTACTTCCAGCTATTAATACCGTTTCCCCAAAAATAAGACCTCCCTGGATAATAAGCCCAATTGGGTTTTTGAGCGCATGCGCTAAAAGCCCTCCCCTGAAAATAAGCCCTCCCCGAAAATATTGCAACACAGCAGCAGCCATGAGGTGATCATATTCGCTGTCTTCTGCACCTCAAAAATAAGTCCTCCCCAAAAATATGGACAAGCGCTTATTTGGGGGGGGGGGTCAAAAGAAAATAAGATGTCTTATTTTTGGGGAAACATAGTAACAAAAAAGTTATGCCTCACTAATAAGTAAACAGCCTCTATAATACAGTTATTATGAATCTTCGGGAAGGAATTACTGTAGGACATCTACAGCAAAAATCTACAGCACAAATGCAGGAAAACATACCAGTTCCATAAAGTATTAATCTTCAAACTGAGAAGGCATTTCAGTCATTAAACTATTGGAAACTGTGAGTGGGTGATGGGTTAAACGGGTTTGTTCCAGTGGGCTATTTTTCTTTTCAAAGTAAGGCCTAAGACATATTGCTAGAGGCACTGGCTCTCTCTAACTCTGTGTTATACCTATCACCAACTTCCTTTTTTAAGTAAAAAAAGCAAGAAAAGCCAAAAAAATTTTTTTGTAAAAATATTTAACACCAGCCAATAAGTGATTACAACGTGATGCTACAGTAGAGAACTTGATTAGAAAAGTAGCATAGCAACTGATTAAGACTCCCATTATTATAAAGTCCAGTTAATCTCCATCTTTTTTTCCAAAGTTCTAATTCTGAACTCCAATTCTGCCAATCTTTCTCTTCCACTTCCTCTGCCGTTGGTGTACTTTCTTCTTTTTCTTTTTCAACCTCATTTTTGGTTCTGGCCTCACCAGTTCTATCTCCACTGGCTTTTCTTCAGCTGGCGTTTCAAATACTTCCTCGGTGGGATCTTTAGGAATGAGTGCTTGGTCTTCCTTACTCTTCAATTTCTGTAACTGCTTCATGTTTTGCTTTTCTCTAAATTTAGCAACTAGGGCCAGTCTTAATTCCCGACGATGCTGTAATAATAATAAAAAAGCAAATTAGTATGCATACTGTAGGGTATTGAAAAATATTAGAAAGCTGCATATATTTTTTTAAACCCTAGGTTATTGTGTCTATTAAATATACAACAGAGAGATGTGTACATGGGGGGAAACGTAGTAGGGATGCACCTGTGATCAAATGACATATTGTATGTGATGATGGGGTTTTGTTTTTGTTTTTCCTTTTTTTCTCTCTCTCTTTTTCCCTCTGTTTTTTTTTCTATTGTTATGTGATGTTGTTTATGTAATAAAAAATAAAATTATTATAAAAATATATATTAGAAAACTGCATATATCAAGTTAGACTCCTCCTAGTCTAGCTAGTTTGAGGTTTTATGGCAACTGAAAAAGCTCTACAACCCTTCAGATAGTTTTGTGCAACTGAACCAGAATGCTTCCTGGGTAGAACCAGAGCCCCCAATGCGCAAAAGTATATCTGCCATCAGTTTCTCCCTCTTGCCAGTTTCAGTTTCCAGAAATTTTATTAACTTGCATTGATTGATAGTTCATCTTTTTGTCCAGGAACTTAGTTTATGTAAGTTTGTTTTCTACATAGTAATGATCGTGTGAGACAAGGATGAGCTGAGAGATGTATTGACTGCTCCAAAGCTACCCAATGGGTTCCATAGTTGATGATAAATTTGAACTTAGATCTCCAGCTCTAATATCTGAAGGAATTGTATTACACTACTTTTGGGCAATATTACCTAAAAATAAAATATTATGCAACTTAGTATTATTATGCTGTCTCTGCTATATCAAATAATGAACATGAATGTCCACCAAAGGTCTAAACCAGTGATGGCTAACCTTTTTCTAAAGGTGTGCCAAAATTGCACACGTGCCCAACCCCCTGCGCACATGACCCCCCCGTGTGCACGACCCCCAATACATGCGCCTGCGCAGGGAGGAGTTTTCAGCTTCTCCAGGCTCCAGAGGCTTTCCTAAAGCCTGAAGAGGGCGAAAATGGCCTCCTCCGGTCTCTGGAAGGGTGAATATCAAGGCTACTATGCTAGCAAAATATGGCTCCGTGCGCCACCTGTGGTACACATGTCATAGCTTTGCCATCATGGGTCTAGACACTGAAATTACATTACACAATAAGATACTGAAGACTGTGCACTGTTCCTAGTTACTAGTGGGGTCAATCTAAACTTATTTTGTAATTTTAGCATAAGAGCCATCATTTATAATTTTGCAAATAGATTTGTACAAATGTACACTTTTCTACTACATGCAAAGCACATTTTTGTGCAGATTACTGTAAGTGCACAGAATATCAAGTGTTTATAAAGAAAAATGTAACAAGCTAATCTGACAAGATCAATAATTAACAGACATCGAAATCTTGTGTCAAGTATCTTGAGGCTGACTCAAAGTAACTGTGAGCCAACAGCCAGTAGTTTACAAGACTCTACTGAAGTTGATGGAGCAGCTTCCAGATATATAGAAACGTATTTTGGATATATAGCATGCAAAGGAATCACTGCCTTTTAAATAAAGACCAAAGAAACTACCTAAGATGAACTATTGTGCAAGGGAAGCAGTCATTAAGAGACAACTCAGCATAGTAGAATATTGGGGAAAATAACAAAATACTGAAATTTTTATTAATGGTTTGAGATGGTGCAGCCGCAGCTACCAGGGTAACTAGTCAAGGTGCAGTAAGTGTGAGACAGAATGATGCTAGGTGTGAAGACCCAGTTCAAGTCCAGCATCAGCCAAGGAAGCTTGCTGGAAGACACTGGACCAATTACTCTCCCTCAACCCTATCTATATAGTACAGCATTTTATGCTGGAGAAGGGAGTTGTGCTCCCGTCTCCTTCACCATAAACCACTTTGAGTACGTAAGAAAAAAGACCAAAGTTATCTAACCGGTAATGAAAACAAGAATATAGTATTACCATATTTGGAGATTGGTAATGAGGGTTTTGATACAGGGTTTGTCCTCCAAAGCTGCCCTGGAAGATCTTGATTAGGTTCAGGACAAAACGAGGCCCAATTTCAACAAGAGCTCCATCTTCTTCTATGATCTGCAACAGAACCGAACACGGGGATATTTTGGCATTTGGAATCAGACTTAGCATTTGGAATCAGACTTAGCACCATTTGATCCAATGTGTTAACATTTTATTCTGATTAGAACTTTGAATCACCAGGTAGATGCTTAAATGCCCTTTTCTATCGCCTACTTTTTCCAGGACCTTCATCAGTGTACCCCAAACTTCCTGGTTTTATTATGCAGGAGCTTAAGGGCTTTTATAACCTGAAAAATTGAGATTTAATCCATCTCTTCTTGACCCAGAAAGAAAACTGGAAACTACAAGGAGGTCAGTGGAAAAATTATCACTGGAAGAGAAAGCCATTGCTTGCAGCATGAAATTGAAATATGATTCAGTGGCTATGTAACCATTATACTGTATACGGCCTATCATTATACAAATCAGCTTGAGCAAGCTTTAAGTTCAAAGTTTGTGTTCTCCCTTTGAATACTGCCACATCAACAATTACGTTTGTGTAAATGCATTTTCCCATTATATCTTAAAAGAGATTTGACAGCATACAAATTTGTTAAAATAAATAAATTCCAGATTCTGGTTTATTACTGTGTCTTTAAACAAGAAATCAAGGAATTCTTATTTAATTCTTTCATAAAACTTCAATTAAATTTCACAATTTGTCTCTGTACAGAATGACAAACTGAAAAAAAAAAATCAGTTAATTAATCTGAAGGAAAACAATTCTTCCAGTCCTGTTGGAACTGTACAAAACAAAAAATGTGAAGCAGGTAAACCAGAGTTTGCCTAGGATGGTTTTTACAATTATTACTGTAACTCTATAGCAATAGCAATAGCAGTAGACTTATATACCGCTTCATAGGCCTTTCAGGCCTCTCTAAGCGGTTTACAGAGAGTCAGCATATTGCCCCNTGCCACAAAGAAGAGGGAGTCAAGCTATTCTCCAAAGCTGAGAGGGTAGGACAAGAAGCAATGGGTGGAAACTTATCAAGGAGGGAAGCAACTTAGAACTAAGGAGAAATTTCCTGACAGTGAGAACAATTAATCAGTGGAACAACTTGCCTCCAAAAGTTGTGAATGCTCCAACACTGGAAATTTTTAAGATGATGTGGGATAGCTATTTGTCTGTAGGGTTTCCTGCCTAAGCAGGGGTTGACTAAAGACCTTCAAGGTCCCTTTCAACTCTATTATTCTATTCTTGCCTTTAGCATCAATCTGCACAATTTTTTTGAAAACCAGACTCTCTTTTCATTCTTCATGATGAAGAAATAATACAAAGCAGGTAAAGTCCAATACAGATAGTCCTTAACTTAGAACAATTCGTTTAGTAACCATTCAAAGTTACAATGGCACTGGGGAAAAAATGACTTCGGACTGTTTTCACTTACAACATTGCAACATCCCCATGGTCACATGATCAAAATTCATAGGGTTTCCTGCCTAAGCAGGGGGTTGGATTAGAAGACCCCCAAGGTCCATTCCAACTCTGTTATTCTATTCTACTTTACTCTCCTCTCCTGTATTCTGATTCCTATTCCATTCTATTCCTTATTCTATTCCATTCTGCAGTATTCTGATTCCTATACCCATTCCATTCCTATTCTGTTCTACTTTACACTACTCTCTTCTCCAGTATTCTGATTCCTATTCTATTCCTTATTCTATTCTATAGTATTCTGATTCCTATTCCCTTCCCATTCCATTCCTATTCCATTCTACTTTACTCTCCTATCCTCTCCAGTATTCTGATTCCTATTCCTATTCCCTTCCCATTCCATTCCTATTCCATTCTACTTTATTCTCCTCTCTTCTCCAGTATTCTGATTCCTATTCTATTCTATTTTATTCCTTATTCTATTCTATTCTTCAGTATTCTGATTCTTATTCCCATTCCCTTCCCATTCTATTCCTATTCCATTCTACTTTACTCTCCTGTCCTCTCTAGTATTCCAATTCCTATTCTATTCTATTCTATTCACCATACCATACCCCATACCATACCATTCTACTCCACAGTATTGATTCCTATTCCCATTCTATTCCTATTTCATTCTACTTTACTCTCTAGTATTCTGATTCCTATTCTATTCTATTAACCATACCATACCCCATACCATACCATTCTACTCCACAGTATTCTGATTCCTATTCCCATTCCCAATTCCATTCCTATTCTATTCTACTTTCCTCTCCTCTCCTCTGCAGTGTTCTGATTCCTATTCCTATTCTTTTCTATGCTAACCTCAGGGAGCGAAGGGCTCAGGGGCATCCATACCCTCCCTCCATAGAAACCCCCCTCGTGGCGTCCACACCTGCGAGACCGGGGGAGGGATGTGGAATTCATCCTGGCCCGGGACGGAGGACGGATCTCTCTCGGCCTCCACGCTCTCCTTCCCTTCCGAAGCTCCCTTCGCGCGTTTTTTCTTCGGCCCGGCTGCGGTGGCCTTGCCAGCTCCACGCCGCCTCTTGGTCGCCGCCATTTGCCTTCTCCCAGAGGGCCTCCCTTTCGACCGCTCTAGGATCTCCAGGGGACGGCTGAAAGAACGATAGAGTTTTCTCGCGGGCGCGCTAGGAATGTTGGGAAAGTTCGGCTTGGTTTCTTGCGCCGTAAAGAACTTGGTAGAAGGTACTGTGTGTTTTATTGATTACCTTAATAAACTCAGTGTCACAAATGGCTTAACCCGTTTTACCTTTATTTTTTTTAAACTTTAAAAGCATCACAATTAATATTTTTTTTAAAAAAAGAACCGAATGACTTCTGGTGCTGCATGTAAATAGCAATATCACCATGCATTATATGAAAACTATCGTTTTTAAAAACCTAATCGGTTGTATAAAAAGAGTTGTAGAGTGAAGGGGAGGAAAGAACTGTATTGTACAATCTAGGAATCGAATTAAAACGGAGGAAAAGAAGGCGGTGTGTCATTGTGCATGCATTCTGCAGGATTAAGGAGCAAAAAACAAAGTTAACTGCACCAGGTTTTTGGACTGGCAACGCTTCTAGTCTCCCGTAAGTGTTGTGCATAAAAACTAAGGCACCTGAGTTCGTCTGGAGCTGGAAAAATTCTTGCCCTTGAATTTGAAGGAGAAACACCCAATACCTTTGCAAAGTGATGTAGGAAGGGAAACGGGAGGAATTTACTCAGAAAGTATTACTACTAAAAGAAAAAAAGGATAAAATCCTAAATTCAGAAACAAAGGCACCACTAGAAGCTCTTTAGGAAAAACAGGAAACATTAGAATAGAAAATCATTAAAAATCCCCATAGAAACAGATAGCCCAAGAAGAAAAACCAGAGTAATTAAAATTTCGATATAGTGGAGGAAAAAACAGGAAATGGAGATACCAGAGGAGATGACAAGGCGGAAGCAAAACAGAAAGGTGCTAAAGACAGGTTATAAAAACAGTATCAGTTTTGGAAAACCTACTTGGGGCAAATAAAATTAAGATTACAAACACAAATTAGCAAGCACCTCCTTGCTGGTAGAGCAAA